GTGTGGGTGATGGTGGCGGTGGCCCAGTTGTTAAGTCTGCCAGCGCTCACAGTGTAAAGTCACGGCGCAGTCTGGGGGCAAGCTCGCGGTCACGATCTGCAGACGAGGATGACGATGTGTCAGCACCAGGGGTATGATTGAATTTATACAAGTCCGTAGGTTACTTGATGAATGCAGCCTGTTTGGCTGAAGGTTTTTACGTCTGTAAGAGCCTGGCTTTCAAACCACAGTCCACGTACTGAACATTGCAGTCGCTTGCTTCATATTTGGGAGGTCAGGGGTTCAAATTATAGCCAGGAAATGGGCTATACATATTGAGGTTTTCTGTGATTTTTCTCAGTCTCTCCAGGCAAATACTGGCACGATAGGCTTACCTTTAAATTGGTCATGACCATTTCCTTGCATGTCCTTTCAAATTCATTATTGTATAGTCTGAGGCACTGAGGTTATCATTAAATAAGCCACGGCAAAAACAAGCCAAGTGTATCACCCGAATGTGTGATCAGATTTGTGTTTCACGTGCTGCTCTACTGGTGACACCTTTCTATAAAAGTTACATTTTTGTGACTAAATGTATGAATCATATATTTAATATATCTTGAAGATGTTATTTTAGTTTTAATACAAGATGTCCACAATAAAATTTCACACATATGTCTGTGATCTAAGTTAAAGAGATGCTAATTTCACTGAAACCACAGCTTTTCAGTAGCTGTGTTATAGCTCAGAAGGTTACACTTATTTCCCACTGTGCGGACACAGGTTCAGTCTGCGGATTATCAGTGGTTCCTTACACTCTTCATATATGCAGTTTTAATTTGTTGCTGTCATTCCCAAATATTCTAATTTTTCCATGTTTTTAAGTATTAATTGACTGTTTCTACAGTGTGTCCACAAAGTCCCTTTGGGGTTTTTGAAAAATTGTGGCGCGCAAACAAATTGAGCTTGCCACATGCGGTTTGCGGCAGATTACAGTGAAACTCTGGAAGATGGTGCTCCACCTCATTGGGGTCTGCAGGTACGCGTGTACCTAGACAGGACATTTCCAGGAAGATGGATCGGCAGAGACGATCCAATGCCTTGGCCTCCACGTTCACCAGACATAACACCACTGGATTTTTTCCTGTGGGGTTATGTCAAGAGCAATGTGTCCCAAACACCAGTTAACGGACTTGATGACCTGAAGACCCGTATCATGAATGCGGTCTCGGCTATTCCAGCTGACGTGCTCCACAGAACATGGCAAGAACTCGAATATCGTCTGGACGTTCTCCGTGCTACCAAGAGAACCCACATCGAGGTCTACTGAGGTCAGTAAAAAACTTCCAGAGTTTCACTGTAATCTGCCGCAAACCGCATGTGGCAAGCTCAATTTGTTTGCGCGCCACAATTTTTCAAAACCCAGAAAGGACTTTGTGGACACACTGTATAATATGAGGTACATTTACTTCTAGACTAACCTCCTTAGTTTAATTTTCGATATATTTTTTTCCATAAGCATTTGCCGCTTTTCCCTATTCTGATTTAAACTGTTCGTTTCAAAGTTCACTTCATTTTTGTGTCTTGTTGGCTTCTAATGGCATCAGCATTATCTGTCCTCAGTTTATCTCAACATAATATTTACTTTGTAACATTCTTCACTACACGACATCAATGTCTTGCTTCAAAGTAGTCGGCTGTTTGGTGCAGGTGACCCCAGATGGCAGTACTTGGGAACCATCTGAAACAGTAGAGGAGGAGACAGTGATAGAAAATGAGGAAGAGATGCAAGAGGAACAGGAAGAGGTTGAACAGGAGGAAGAGGAAGAAACAGTAACAGAGGTGGAGGTAAGTGAGAAGACCCTAAAGTTCAAGATTGCAACAGAAGGCAGCATCACAGCCCCTGGTGGCAGAAGGAGCTACCCCGGTAGCCGGAAGGGAAGTCGTGAGAAGGCACAACTCCAAGATTACCATCATAATGTTCATGACCTGGTCAGGGCAATACATGACCAGGAGGAGGGTGGGGCTTTCAGGGACTTATGTCAAACATCCACCTTCACCCCCACATCCCCATCACCACACTCCAAAGATTTTCCATTCATATCTCCATCCCCCGATAAGGATCAGAGGCATGGTAGCTCGGAGGATTCGGAGCTACAGAGTGTAGTGATGTTGAGTAGTTTGGGGCAGGCAAGCGGTAGAAAGGTAGGAGAGCTATGTAATGGCGAAACAAAGTGCTTTGAGGGTGTGAAGAGACAAACAAGTGAAGACCAGCAAGTGCAGGTTGATGACAATAATCTGGAAGCAGACTGTGGTGTGATAGGGAGTGACGATCATGACGCCCCTCATGACGACAAGGAGGCTAGAGCAATCAGTGCCAAGAAGACAACACTACTAATGAGAATTCGTAACCTGACAGACAGGCTGTCCTTCAGCAATGAGAAGCACAGTGCTGAACCAACACATGGTTACTGCAACAAGTCATCACCAGTAAACAAACTAGATGATTCATCATCTACATCAGTTAACTCTGCAGATACGAGATCAGTGGAGGAGGCTGCAAACAAAGCCATGACATTACCAAAGACAAGGAAACCTCAACGAACAGACAGTGGTAGTACTGGGAAAAGAGGATGGAAAGTTCTTGTTGGTGGAGGAGGGAAAGATCGCCTACCATCGTCGTCTTTAGAGCTTCTGTCTCCCGCAGAGAGCTCCTCACCAGATGTGCGGCAGCAACGCGACAAAAAGAATGCATTGCGCCCAAAAACTGAGGAGTTACAAGGTCAAGAAACTCAAAATAGCAATGGGCTAGAAGCCAGCTGCAATGTCTCGGTGGATCAGGATGACTCCTGGCATATGGCAGACTCATCGCCAGCTAGCGCAAAAAGTGATTCGGCAGTTCTGTCTGGGAGCCTGGACAGCATCCTGAAGGAGAAGGACAGATCCTCTGGCAACAACAACATTCGCAAGAAGATCAACATATGGAGTAGTCCAGGCTCGAAACACGGTTTCTTCACGCGTCTGGGGCGGAGCAACACTCACACGGAAGGAACCAGGCGCCATGGCAGTGAAGACAACTGCAGTAAAGTTCAACAGCATAACTGGATGTCTTCTCTGGCAGCAGGGTTCCGTCCTAAGAAAAACCACCACCATCGTCATCATCACCATAGTCTTCACAAACCACAGGGGCAGGAGTGACCGCCCCTTTTCCTGACCATGACATTCGTCCGCACTTGTTGTCTATCTGTAGCTGCCTCACCCGACTACATCAGACAGACCAAGTAATGAATTAACATTCCCCTCTGTATTAGATGTGTTACTTCATTCACCTGAAACTTGATTTCATGTCTGATGTATGAATTCTCAACATAGAAATGCGGCAGGCTTCATCGACTTCTTAGTTTTAACGTACTGACATTTGTGGCTGGCCACAGGAACTCGGAAGCCCGCGAGAAAGTTTTCGTCATGCGCGTTGAATCAGTATTGGGTGGCATGTTTGTGTTCCCTAGTCAGAAACAATAGTTACAGATCATTCATAACTCAGTCAATGAGATCATTCCAAGGTAAAGAATCTTTAAAGTGCTTCCAGAGCGATCGAAGGAACAGCTCTGATCATGTACTGTAGTATTTGTTTCATTATTTTGAGTCTGGTATTAATCATTAAGTATTTAAATTTGTATATTATGTATCATTAAGATTGATAACTCAATTCTAGTCCTTTTCATCACAACCTCATTGTTTTAGTTGTAATCTGTAGTACGTAGAATTCACATATGTCAGAAATAATGGGACAGAAAAATCTTGACATTATATATTTTAAAATATCTGAGCGGATAGGGTAGACGAGAGATGTTAAAGTGTAATTGAGTCTATTTTTTTTTTTTTTTTGTCAAAGTATAGATATCTTGTGGCACTTTTGTCAGTGTTACTCGTGTTCTCTTTCTCGATTAGTCTGGGGCTGCAGTCATTAGTTTCGGTATTCTCGCCTGTCTCTCGGACTGCAGCATGTTATTCGTCGATAAATATCTGACCCACAGCACCAGGACTAGTCCCAAATGACTTTTAAAATTTGTCAGTAGATCTGGTGTTCAATTCCAGGCTTGAAAAATTGTGGTTGTGTGTGTATGTGTGGGTGTTTGTGTGCTAATGTATGCTTTGTGAATTATTACTTTTTCTTTTGAATTCCCTCAGAAATGGAATTGCTTTCCTGGATGAAAAGTTTGAAATTAAGAGATTTGCTCTAAACAGTTTGAGGAAGGACAGAGAACATGTCTGAAAGGCAAGATGAACTTTCTGTGCATCTGTTAAATGCTCTTTCTCTCTCATAATGAAGTTCTGATGCTTCGCTGGGCGAGCGTGTACAATGCGTAGACTGTGTAGAACAGGAATGTGTTCCATGGCTTCCAACTCGCCTGTACACTTCCTCCCTTCAAGATTTATAATGCTAGTGTGTTTCTGTGTAGATGAAAATTTGCAAGTAGCGGC